TTCTCCATTTTCTGTTCATTTTTTCATTGTTATACAATATTCAATTTTTGCAAAGATGAATTTATTATGAAAGAATTTCACTATAAAAAATAAAAAAACAAAAATCGTATCTAAAATTATTATCAATTATATCCATTAACAAGGTAGTTGAGATAACACTTTTTAATTTCAAAACGAAATAGAAATATGACATTTTTGGTTGAAGACTTCGAACAACTATATTCATTAACAAGGTAGTTGAGATAACATTCCTTAATTGCAAAATGAAATAGAAATATGATATTCTTCGTTGAAGACTTTAAAGTAAACCATTGAGTTAAGGTTGAAAGTTGAAAAAGAATAAATCTTGCATCAAACATCATCAACAGTAAACTAGTCAAACATAGGGAAACCAAGTATTTAGATGACTTGTATTGAGAACTTTAACCTTAATTGGGAATAATATATAACATAAGTTGCCAACAATAAGGTCTTAATTAGCACGAATAAAAATATTAGGAAGAATTTGAAAACAAGAACTAAGTTGAGGGACAACTTATAATTATCCCTTAATATTTCCTAGAGAGCAGCGACTGCACTGTTCTGGAACCTGAGATCGGTCTTGAAATCCTAAGCGATCTCTCGCACAAGGCTCTGGAACGGAAGCTTTCAGATCAAGAGCTCAGTACTCTTCTGGTACTTCTTGATCTCTCTCAGAGCCACAGTTCCCGGCCTGAAACGATGAGGCTTCTTCACTCCTCCAGTGGCTGGTGCTGATTTACGAGCAGCCTTGGCGGCAAGCTGCTTCCTCGGCGCCTTGCCTCCGGTCAACTTCCTGGCTGTTTGCTTAGTACGAGCCATCTCAGGGAACAACAATGAGATTCTAAGGAATTTTGGGAGATGGGGAAAGCGCGCTTCTCATTGCCGTCGGTGAGAAGAGAGAGTGCAGACCAAATTCAATTCAAAATTGAAATTCAGGGGTTATAGGGTGAAATTGAAATACACGTATTTTACTCTTGAGAATTACATTGTTAAAATACATGTATTTCACTCAAATTCAATTACTTTTTGTTTATGTAAAAACAAACAGTGATATTGAATTTTAACCCTTCAAATTCAAATACATTGTTTCAAATTCGTGTTACCAAACAGACCAAAAGGGTTTTGCAGAGTTTATTGTGAAGAATGGCTTGCAGGATCTACCTCTGCTGGGAAGGAAGTATTCATGGTATCAACCAAATGGCAGATGCATGAGTCGCCTAGATAGGTTTTTATTCAATGATGAATGGATATTGAAATGGCCTAATACAAAACAGTGGGGACTTCAAAGATCTCTGTCAGACCACTGCCCGATATTAGTTAAAAATGAGGCAAGAAATTGGGGGCCAAACCATTCAAATTCTTCAATGCTTGGTTACATACCCCAGGTTTCACAGACATGGTTACAGCAAAATGGAAGGAGTTAGAAATTCAAGGCTGGGGAGGATTCATTTTAAAGGAGAAGCTGAAGATGACAAAGGACTTTCTTCGAGTGTGGTCAAAGTCCAATATATAGGAAGTGGACAGAAAAATTGAGCAATCCAGGGAGGAGATAAACAGAGTTGATGGCAAAGGAGAAACAAGCAATCTGTCAAATGAAGATGTTATTTTCAGGAGCTCTCACTACACTGAGTTGCTAAAGAATATGCAGATGAAAGAAGAGATGGCTCAACAGAAAGCTCGAAAAACTTGGCTGAAATCAGGAGATGCTAACACTGGTTTTTTCCACAAATGCATCAGAGGGAGATGGCGCAAAAACGAAATAAATGTAATTTTGGTAGAAGGCGAAGAGCTGAGACAAGTTGAAGACATAAAGCAGGGCGTTATGAAGTATTTTGCAAATTTATTCTCTGATGAGGGATGGCAAAGACCGACTTTAGAGGGGCTAAGCTTCAAATCGATTTCAGAGGAGGACAGAAGCATGCTCATTGAACCTTTTACAGAAGAAGAGGTAAAAGAGGCGGTATGGAATTGTGACAGCACCAAAGCACCGGGACCGGACGGTTTTACTTTTGGCTTTATAAAAAATGAATGGGAGGTGATTAAAGCAGATATCATGGTCTTCCTCAAGGACTTTCACACAAATGGAAGGATGGTAAGGGGTTCTAATGCTTCTTTCCTGGTTTTGATACCGAAGAAAGAGAATCCTCAAGGCATAGAAGAGTATAGACCCATTTCCTTAATTGGTTGCATGTATAAGATTCTTGCCAAAGTGTTAGCAAACAGACTCAGCAGAGTATTAAACACAATTATAGGGGAGAATCAATCTGCTTTCATCGAAGGAAGACAACTGGTTGACAGTGTTGTTGTGGCAAACGAGGTAATTGATGAGGTGAGGAAGAGAAAATCCCAGTGTTTTGTATTCAAGATTGACTTTGAGAAGGCATATGATAAGGTGAGCTGGTCTTTCTTGGACTACATGATGGAGAAAATGGGCTTCGACAAAGTATGGCGGGAGTGGATTGCTGAATGTTTAAGATCGAATACTGTGTCCGTGTTAGTTAATGGAAGTGCTACCAAAGAGTTCTCGATGTCAAGAGGGCTTCGACAAGGAGATCCACTATCTCCATTTCTGTTCTTAATGGTGGCAGAAGCTCTAAATGGACTAACTTCGACAGCAGTAGAAAAGGGTTATTTCTGTGGAGTAAAAATAGGAGACGGGAGTTAGAGATCAGCCATCTACAATTCGCAGATGACACAATCTTTATGGGAGAGGCAACCGAAGACAACATATGGATGATTAAATGCATCATGAGGGCATTTGAATTGGTGTCAGGCTTGAAGGTAAACTACAGAAAAAGCTCTCTAATTGGAGTCAATACTGATGAAGAATGGACGAGAAAAATGTCATGGTTGCTGAATTGTAAAACTGCCTCCCTTCCCTGTAAATACCTGGGCATGCCTTTGGGAGCAAACCCAAGGAGAATAGATACTTGGAAACCCTTAATCGAAACCTTCAGAAGAAAACTCTCAGTTTGGAAAGGAAAATTCTTGTCTCTTGGCGGTAGAATCACCCTCATAAACTCTGTGCTGTCCAGTCTGCCCGTGTTCCTGATGTCGCTACACCTTCTCCCTAAACAGGTAATCCGCGAGCTCGATAAAATTAGGAGAAGTTTCTTATGGGGTGGAGTTGGGGAAGGTAGAAAGATAGCGTGGGTAGCATGGGAGAGGGTCTGCTACGAAAAAAAAGAGGGAGGGTTAGGGGTGAAAAATCTTAGATGGTTCAATATGGCATTGCTCGGGAAATGGTGGGGGAGATTAATAGGGGGAGATAAGGGGTTGTGGTCGAGGGTGCTGGTAGAAAAATATGGTGGCAAAGGAGGAAATTGGTTATCTTGGATGAAAGAGAGTAGGGGAATAGGATCGCCATGGTGGAATGATATTTGCAAATTGGATACAGGATCAAGTAATAAGGTTGGGTGGTTGCTTTCAAATTTCAACTTAAAATTAGGGGACGAGAAGAGTGTCAGGTTCTGGTTAGATGTTTGGGTAGGGGAGGACTCTTTAGCTAATGTGTTTCCAAGACTGTTTTTGTTGGACACAGACAAATATTGCAGCATATATGATCGAGGTTATTGGTCTGATGGACGCTGGTGCTGGAGATTCCAATGGAGAAGATCAACTAGAGCATGGGAGGAGGAAAAACTACAACAGTTGATTAGGACCATAAATCACAAAAAACCAGTGCAGAATGTGAAAGACACTTGGAGATGGAGGCCTGACAATGAAGGAAACTACACCACAAGGTCAGCTTACAAGCAGTTGGCTAAGAAAGAAGAAAGTACACTGTTGGAGTACAAAAATATATGGAGTGCGCAAGTCCCTTCAAAAGTGGCAGCTTTTTCATGGCAAATGCTTCTTGACAAAATCCCCACAAAGGCCAACTTGGCAAAGTGGGGCATTTTGGATGACAACCAAGGTATAAATTGTTTTTGGTGTGATCAGTCCCCTGAAAAAATTGATCATCTTTTTGTGTCATGCAATATCTCATTCAATTTATGGTCTAAATGTCTAAATTGGTGGGGATTATGTTATGTTCTTGGGAATACTTGTCTTGATGTTTACAACCAACACAGTTGGCATAAGGGTTCAAAAATTATGAAAAAAGGCTGGAATATGTTATGGTTCACAATAGTATGGTCATTGTGGTTGAGTAGAAATGAAACAGCCTTTCATCACAAAAAGGTAAATGAGGACTCGCTATTTGAACTTGTACAAAACCGATCATTCCATTGGGTTAGAACTATGTTGAAATTAGAAAATTTTTCCCTCTTAGAATGGTTTACCAACCCTGTGAGTTGCTTGACAAATAGGAAGTAGAGAGTAGATGGGGTGTTGAGCTCCA